TATATTTTCAGCATATGCGTTTCTTTACAAGGTTCAAAATAGAGTTGTATCAGTTTCGAACAGCATAATGTACAACTCCCAAAGTATGTTGCTGTCCTAACATCAGTATTATTTGGTCTTACTGTTCTTGCCTTCTTGCTGATAAAATCCTGAACAGTAAATCTTAATTCAAGAATACTTTGGGGGTATAGGGTGAACATGATAGATATTTATCTATATTTATCTATATCATATATTTATGTTGGCTACAGCTTGGATTAAGTTGGCTTGACTCCCAGTGACTGTACTGACATGTCCATGTTGGTTTCTTGGCAATCATATAGTAGCGATTTGTCATTTGTTCTTAGCAAGAGAATGTCTTTTAAGTTTCAGAAACTTGCAACACTTTTTTTCTCATTTCTCTTAGTAAAAGTTCATCATTGTATAGAATATATACAGTGTGCAGCGACTGTACATTGTGGGCAGTGGTGGGATTCAAATAATTTAACACCTGGTTCTTTGCCCTAATGACCGGCTGGGTGGGCGTGGCCATGGTGGGCATGGCCAGGGGGTGTGACAGGCAGCACTTGGCCTCCTACATCCCGCTGGAAGCAAAAACGGGCCGTGGAGGCACGCCACCCCCGTGCCCCCTTTTGGGACTAGTAGGCCTCCCTGCAGCCTCCTGGGAACCAAAACGGGGCGTGTGGGGACTTCTGCAAGGGGAGGGGAGGGGAGGGGAGGGGCCAGCCAGCAATTTAACAACTGGTTCGGCCGAAGTGGTGCGAATCGGTTGAATCCCACCACTGATTGTGGGGCAAGAGACAAAAATGAAAACTCATCTGGATATGCAAAATTCCCATTTTGAATTCTATTGTGGCTCTCTACATTTCCAATATTGGATCACAAACACAGTACTAGCAATGCCTCTTCTTATTTATAAGCCCTGATATTTTTCCAACAGATGTATTTTAATCATATTTTATTCAGAGTTGACTGAAGCATCAAGGGAGACTACAATGTGTCCATGTTGGTTTTAAGCAAGAGAATTCTAATGGGTTTTTGCATTTAGCTACTTTTTGTTTCAAATTCAAATTCCCTCCTACATTATTCAATATATAGATGAAAATACTAGACACATAAACTTATGGGCATACTTGGGGAGCATCCCTTAGATATTGGAACATTATTACTATGTCACACCTAGTCCTTCTTTTAATTAAACTAGACATATCCAATTCCTGCAACTGGTATTCATAAGTTTTAGCCTCCATTTGTTTATTAGCCATACACAAATATATGTATGGCTAATAAGAATAAACATGCTTCCCTGAATTATTTGTCTCAGTGTAATCCAGTTGAGGAAAAAGTCTCCCAAGGTGTGAACCTGGAAATCATTCCCATCACCTGCCAAATGCTCCTCTTAATGGGAGAAACTGGAAATTAAATATGCACTCAACAGAGCTATGACCTCCTGGGGATTCCCCTGGATAGTGTTTCTCAACCTTGGCAACTCTTAAGATGTGTGGAGTTCAACTTTCAAAATTCCCCAGGTAGCAAGCTGGTTAAGGAATTCTGGACAATCAAGTCTACATATCTTAGAACTGCTGACACTGAGAAACACTGCTCTGGGGTACGGTTGGAAAAAAAAAGAGTCAAGATGGAAGCCACGAAGGTGTGATTGAAATTCTGCCTCCTTTTATGTGGGTCTTCTTTGATCACAGCTTGCAGACCTCTCCCGCATAACCTCTCAGCATCTCCATTGAATTGTGATCTCGCCGTACACCATGGTTTGCTGTCTTTTGCAATAAATATCTACTATTGCCATCAACACTCCGTCTTCCATATTGGCACTCAACTTATTTTCAAGTAAGAGTGAAAGGATCAGGCGGGAAAAGAATTGGAAAGGAGTAAAATAATATAGCGTATAGTAAAGAGAAAGAGAAGAATATTGAAGACATCCTTCCCGCCGCAGGACACTGGATAGGAATTTCTTTTTTGTTGTTAAGTCAAGTCACAGAAATGTCTTGTTTTGTTATAACTGTAATGAAACCATGGTTTAAATTAAGTGAACACGCCTGGAATAAGCAGGAAATACCATGCTCCTCAGGAAGTTCACTGCAATCGTCCTTCTCATTTGGGGAAAACCAATTTCCTTTTATTTCCCCGCAGGAGCAGCAAACCATGGTTTATGATTCTGGTGTGTAAGGGAAAAGCATAAATGACATTTTCTGAAATATATCCCTTATGATACAAGCAGAGTATTAACAGTTAGGCTGAAAAAAGCACCTTCTTTTCCAATTAACTTCTAGAACACATTTGTTCAGTATTCACCAATAAGTAATCCATTACATTTAATTCCCTTTGAAGAAGATACAATATACTATATGTTTTTGGGGAAAAGCTCATGTTGAATAATTTTGACTATGTTTTAAAAAAACTGTAGTCCCGCTAGGCACTTGGAAATCTAAACAAAATAAAACAAAATGATTTTTGTAGATGAACAATTCTGCGCCCCCCCCGCCCCAAAATTGGCACACAATTGTCTTAGCCTCGTGATTCATTACTAGCATAAAAGTTGGGCATCCAAGACGTTCATTTCTTTCTAACAGAGATGGGTGGAATTCATCAGAGCTGATTGTATGCATTTTTTTTCTTTCCTTCACTTATATATTTTACAACCATGCAAAATTTGCTGTGATTTCTTTTCTTTTTCTTTTTCTTTTAAACAAGCCCATCTCAAACAAAGCACCGATTCTTTCTTATTAAATACATGGGGAGGTAGCATGCAGCGAGCTGTGTTGTGCAAAGCAGACAATCCCTTTGCGTGTGAAGACTGTGCTAATTCAAGCCTGTGTACTCTTAAGGATAAAGAAGTGAGAAAGCATAAACACAGCTGGCAAAAATTGTGGGGTGATGTTTCTGCGTATAACTTTTTTTTTTTAAAGTGGGGGGGACCGTGTGTCAGTATCACTGCATTCCTGGCTGCATCTTGCTCTGTAGGTTTCAACAGGCTGCAGAGGGATGAGCGAAGCTCACAGAACATGTCAAGGCTGTCAGGAAAGTAAATTATATCTATTGCCTATTTTCTTCCCCAATTTGATTTCCTGATAGGAGTTTCCAGGGCAACTGTGGGCTTCAGTTTCAAGCTTTCCCAGTGAAACTCAAGAATGCAATTTCAAAGATGTTGGAGGATGGGAGGGAATTTTACAGGTAAGCACGCCTTATGTCTGGCTTAAGAAGAAATTTTAAATGTTTTAATTGGTTTGTATTTTTAATTTTGGGCTAAATTTATATATATTTTAATTGTTTTTAATATTTGTATTTCATGTTTTTTAATTCTGGCTGTACACCTCCCTGAGTCCTCAGGGAGAAGGGCGGTATATAAATTTAAAATAAAATAAAATAAAATAAAATAAAATGTCTGCTCTATTGGATCTTCAAGCTTGTTTCCTATCTTTTTAAAGCTGTTATCTACTCTGCAACAAATTGATCCAAATTGTACATGCAAGCAAGGCAGCTGCTTAAGCAGTGTTCCTTTTAGACAAAGCACGATCTCCGCTGTATGGCCTGGGATTTTTTGCAATGTTACAAGGATATTGGGGCAAAACCTTTGCATAAACTCTAAAGCAGACTTGAGCATTTTACAGCTCTCAGACCACATCCATTTGGCTGTCCCTGTCTTGCCTCAGTGTATTGTTTTCAATCTGAAGGCTATTTTTCCCCCCAATTTACATATATACCTTCATGCAGTACCTTCACAGACCTGTTGGTTTGATTCTCCATAACACTCCCAGTTTCTGATGTGACTCCTTGGAAAAATTAATTGTCCACCCTGCTCCAAAGGAAGAATATTTTAACCCTGGAGACTTATCAAGGTCAGAGAAGAACAGTGTTTTCAATCTTGTCAACTTTAAGATGAGCGGACTTCAACTCACTCTCAGAATCCCCCGCACTGGCTGAGAAATTCTGGGAGTTGACATCTACACTTCTTAAAGTTGCCAAGGCTGAAAAACATTGGGACAGAAGGAATGAGGTCTGAAATCATTCTCACTTATGTCAGGTCTAGGTGGCTAGGTATACCATATATACATTATATTCTGGTTTTTTTTACTAATTATAAGTGCCATGTCTAAATGAAATCTATGCCATACCATAGAAAAAGCTTCAATAAGAAGAGTGATGCCTGATATTTGTGTGTGTGTGTGTGTGTGTGTGTGTGTGTGTGTGTGTGTGTGTGTGAAAAGTGAAAACAAGCAAGATGTGAATGGGGTTTATTTACATCATAACATTGTACCTGCCATCTTGCCTACCTTGAAAGATTACTCCATACCCCCACTGGGAAATGCTGCCGAGGAAACTCATTCACTTTAAAGTTATTTTTGCTCTCACTTCTAGGCCTGATGAATAACTATTTCATTCAAAATAGAGCCTGAATGAGATAGTTGTGATTGGATGGATAAAGCCTCAAGAACAGAGTGTTGAGAAGTTTAAAAATCAAAGCATTGTATGAATCAGTACATGGACATTGTGGAAGTAAGATTGCAGAGGTAGAAAAATATGAGAGAAAATAAATGACAGTGTAAATATTTCTCTCTCTTTCTCTCTTTTTTTAATCTCACAATTTAATTTCTTCGGCTCACTATTTCTTACTCTTTTCTGTGCTTTACCTAATTTTGTTTATCCTAAAATAAATTAAGCTCAAGCTGGATATATATTTGGTTATTGAATTTCATCCTTTGTCTTTATCTTGTAAGAATTCTAGGAAGAATGCAGCAAAAATGCACAAAGCAAACGAATAACATGTTAGTAGAAAATTAATGTCAAAAGGAGTGTATCTAATAGCAAGAGGCCATCATTCTACCTCTTTAATGCACTGCATTAGTTTGACTTAGCAGTTAAGGAAGTGATTTGCATGACAACAATACAGTAAGCAGCACAATGGCACAGCAATGTCCACCTTATGTCCTGAGCATGGCAAAAGAGGGGTGCATCTTCTTGCCTTAAACTAAGTTCATACATACCCAGTAGAGCACATCTGTCCAGCCCTCCATGGTGATGCACTGAAACACAGTTAACATGGCAAAGGCAAAGTTGTCAAAGTTGGTAATGCCATGTTTGGGTCCCTCCCATATGGCCCTACATTCAGTGCCATTCTGACACTGCCGTCCATGTTGAGATACTGGAGCACAGGGAGCAGGTTCTTCCTCTGCAGGTGTATCTTAAACAATGGAGAGAAAGAGAGAATAATCAGACAACTGAAATGGTGCAGTGAAGTGGTAAGGAAAAGAGCTATTGGGTTGCGAATGGAGACAAGGGATTTAAGTCACCGATTGTGTTGCATTGTGTCTCAAAACACAAGGCACATTCAAAATTGAGTGTTATCACCTACACAAAGGAAAGGCAATTCTGGATTTGTAAATAGGCACGCTGAGGGTCTTTTTAAAGTGTAAAAGCGCTCTTTAAAATTTTTGGTATGATTTTAAAAAGAAATCATCTTTTTTGCTTGACGGAGAATGGTGATGAAAACTACACAAACCTGTCTAGATACTCTTGGTAAGAATCCTGCCAATTTAGAAACAAGAACTGGAAATTATTTTGTTCATTCTTGATAGAATTAAATGTAATTTTCATTTTTATTGATTTATTTGTTGAAAAGACTACTTTTTAAGTAAATGATTTGCTCAGAGGAGGATCCCTAAATTTCTCTTCCCGCCATCGGGGATGAAATAATACTTTATAATGAGCATTTTGTTACACACTTTTTGGTTTTACTATGACAACATTTTCTCTACGTAAAGGTCTTCAAAACTACATAACTGGTAACCCTATGGCCTTTCCTATTATTACTATACACCCTTTCCTATTATTAAAAGCTAAATGTAGTCACTTCAGCTGCACTCTTCTCCTCCTCCTTCCTCTCCTTCTCCATCCTAAAATTCTCTGGATATTGATGTTTTACAGACAAACAGCAATATGCTGACAGTGCCTGCTTTGATGTTGCACTCTGAAGCCACATTCATGAAAGTCTCTGCTTCAGTTTGGGTTGCTTCATATCTCACACAGCCATTATGACTGCTACAAAGCCAGCATGGTTTTTACTCCACCAACTAGATCAATTGGGAAAAGGGAAAGGTCAGTGTGGAAGGAAATAGAGATATATGTCTGCGTGTGAGGAAGGGGGCTGTTAAAAGAAGAAGATCCAATTCATTTATTTTGTATTTTTGTAATGCTAACACAAACACACACACACACACACACACACACACATCCCTCAGTTGCAATCCTTTCACAAAATACACAGAAGTTGAAGTTAAAGTTAAACAAGGCAGGTACATTTATGTCTCCAATTACAGAGTCAACCAAATTACAAACATCTTTTCTAGACTACATAGGTCTGGTGACTGAAGGTATCTGCAGGGCAGGGGTGAAATCCAGCAGGTTCTGACGGGTTCTGGAGAACTGGTAGCGGAAATTTTGAGTACTGCGGAGAACCGGCAAATACCTCCTCTGGCTGGCCCCAGAGTGAGGTGGGAATGGAGATTTTGCAATATCCTTCCCCCAGGAGTGGGGTGGGAATGGGGATTTTGCAGTACCCTTCCCCTGGAATGGGGTGGGAAAGGAGATTTTGCAGTATCCTTCCCCTGGAGTGGGGTGGAAATGGGGATTTTGCAGAATCCTTCCCCAGGAGTGGGGTGGGAATGGAGATTTTGCAGTATCCTTCCCCTGCCACACCCACCAAACCACGCCCACCAAGCCATGCCCACAGAACCAAACCGGTAGTAAAAAAAATTGGATTTCACCACTGCTGCAAGGTATTATCAAAAAAGTCAAGATGGCAGCTGTGATGGTAGGAATGAGAATCCATCATTTTTAATGTGCTTTGCACATGCAATGCACATGAAAAAGAGGTGGAGCTTTGATCCCATCATCACAGCTATCAACTTGACTTTTTTTTTTAAAAAAAAACATTCCCTGTGGATACCTTGGGTTATTCACAGTCTTATCATCACTCACTTATATTACTGCAATAGACTGCATGTGGAGCTGCCTTGGAAGAGTCCTTGGTCCAAAATGCAGCCCCCGTCTTATTGCTGAATGAGAGTTGCATAACAAGTGTATTGGGTAAGCTGCATTGGTTCAGGAAGTCAAGAGGGCAAAGTCCCACAGAAAATGTTTTCGATAATAGTCTTTTCTTAAAGGCCAGATTAATGATTTCATCATAACAGAATGATTATGGAGGGTGTTGGGATACTGAAGAATAATCATCACCATTTGTATTATTATTTCTTGATAATTATTATGGTGTTTTTCTGCTGCGTTTTATGTTAGAATGATGTTATTGGTTTAAAGTGTTTTATGGATATAAGCCATCAGGAATCTGTCAAAGTCCTCCAGAGCATAAATATAACAAGTAAACAATTATCACTAACATTATGAACAGTAACTGCCATAATAGTAGAATATGACAGTTGTTGTTTTCAGTATTGCCAATTTGAATCCAAACGAATCAGCTAATGACAAAACCAAAGTCCCTATGATGAACCTCAGACTTTAATTGCCAATGGCAATGATCCATCTCATGGAAAAGACTATAGAAATGTGATTCATTAATAAATAAGTAAAGAAATAAATCAGTTTTCCAAACTGATTTGGTGGCTGATGGGAGGGGGAGAAAACTTGTAAATAAGTACAGAAGTAATGCAAATTCATCTAGAGGCCTTCAATTTATTAAAAATACACCTGACTTGCCAATTCAGTCACATTCCAAACATCTACTAAAATCTTATTTAAAGAATCTTTATTCTTTTAAAACATAACACAAAAGGATAGTCCAACTTCTGTTTAAAAGATGGTAAATATTAGCTAGAAGTTTCTGTAGCTTAGATATTGCCACAGAAGATCCCTTCTTTCTAGGAAATTTCTCCCTGAATGCAAAGAGGTCAAACCAGAGTAAGTGAAGTTTAAGTGTTAGTTAACCATCACATTTGCATGGCATTGTTACACATCTTCCACATCCATCTTCCACATACATTAAGGGCTACGCCAAAATGGAGGTCACTTCAGTAAATTACTTACCTGTGGCAATCCCTGTTAAGTAGCATGTTTTGTGCATCTTTCCCATGAAGAGCTCCAACCCAATGATGGCATAGATAATTATGACAAACAGCACCAGCAGGGCAATGTGCAGCAATGGGACCATGGCCTTGATAATGGAATTTAACACCACCTGAAGGCCTATAATGACAAAGATAGCATGGTAAGAACAAACCAGTATAGTTAATAGAAGAAAATACATGGCGGTCAAAACTTCGTAGAAGAGCAGGCTGAGCTGGAAGATGGAGCTAAAAAAGTCATTAAGTTTGAAGTCATTGTATTGCCCCAAGAGACTCAAGTCCATTCCCCTGTGAATTCCACTGACTTTAGCTTTGACCATTGGTTGACTGGATTCTTGTACAGGTATCAATAATAAACTCTTCTGTGCTTATTTGCATCTGACAACCTTCATCTGTGAATTTACAATCGGACTTGATATCTCTTTGACATTTTTTATCTATTGTATTTACAAAAGGGTGCATACAGGGTTTCAGCAGTGGAATCTAGTCTACAAATTAAACTGAATCTAGTCTACAAATTAAACTGATCTGACATTTATTCCATTTTTTATTTTTCTACCTAAATTTTTTCTTAACTGAAATAAGGACAAAAGTATTACAAAGGGTCCTGGTTTATAGGTGGACCAGGTAAAATTTTAGTTTGTAAGCCACACTGTCTTACAATATTTCCACATTTTCTTCATCTACAAGGAAAGTGGGGTGAATTGATACTCCCAGATTATAACTTTAAATGTAAAGTTTGCTTGTTTTCTGGTTTTAGAAATTATGATGATTGGTTATTACTGACTGTCTACTGACTATATCTTTTATCCTATATCAAAATTGAGAGAGCATATCTGACACAACAATATATTTCTGTAAATTCAGACTTGTTGATTCAAAAATTAACTGAATAAGGATACCACATCACTTGTTACTTAGAAACTTCTGAAGTATAACAGCAGAGATGCAAGTTTTGGTGGTTTTAGAAAATTAGTTCTATTCTTTGAGGAATAACTTTATAGGTTTTGTGATGGAACAGTAAATGTGCTCTTGTTTGCAACCTTTATTCACAGATAAAAAGGTTGCTGTAATAAACATTACCATATTATTGTATCATTAGTATAGGAAATACATAGAATCTAATAGTCACAGAAATGACCAATAATGATATGCTTTCTTAGATAGCTTTTGACACAGATATTGTTATTCAGTGACTTTAATGACCAAAGCACCTGCATACCATCAATTCTAGGTTCACCAATTTAAAATTCAAAGATTGGTGTTTTAGAGTGCTGAAGGATTTAGATTTTCTCTTTAGACTTGTCTAGTTTCTACAGGATAAAAGATGGTTTGCACATGAATCATCTTTGTGCATAAAGGTAAAGTGGCTGCAGTTCCAACTGACGTTCTCAGAGGTTGCTGAGCACATCCTACAAGTCCGAACTCCAGTAGAACTGCTTCTGGCTTCACTTTACTTCTGAAAGTTTCCTCCCTTTGATACCACATCAAGAATTAATTATGACATGATGGTGGCCAATTGGCAAGGTTTGTATGACCCTTTTGTGTGCTCTGAAGTATCTATTATTGAAGTATCAGATACTTAATGTTTCGTTAAAGGTGATATAGCATCCAGACATCTTTTATCAGAATGGCTTCTTCACCTTCTATCCATCAGGAACAATACTCTACTCTATATACCATTGAAGCCCTTCAGTGTGTCACTCATAAAGTTATTTACAGCATATGAAAGGATATCAAATTCAGATAGTGATCTTGCAAGCATAAAATTGCATCGAGGGATCAGTATATTATGTCAATATTTATTTTTGACAAAAGACAGTAAGATTTATTATTGACATATTTTGTCAAAATATGGAAATATATCTTTCTAAGAGACTATTGAAATTATGGGTCTAACATCAAACACAGTGCTGTCAGTTGCTACTGTAGACTGTTTCCTTTCACACAAATTTGTAGAATGATGTGCTGCTATCTTTCAAAAAAAATACAGGATAGCATTTGATAGGCAAACAAACCTTACAACATAACCACAAAATATGAATTTTTAAAAAGGCAAAATAAATGCATGGCTTGCTACAATAAAAAGAAAAGGGATGAATGGTTCACTTTTTCCTTATGATCACCTATTTTCCTGCCCTTTTCATATAATATTGTTTCACCTATGCTCATCAATCAATCAATCCTTTTTCCTAGCGTCTAACTTAGAGTGTAATCCACCCAAAGATTACTGTAGTATCTTTAAATCCCTTTGATTTCAATTAATAGGTATGCAGTGGAATTCTTTGGACGATTTTCCTTGGATGACCAGTCAATCTCAGTGTAGAAGACTACAATCTTACAGGCTGTATAAACTTAAGACCGCTACCCTAATTGCATTTATCAGCCGTAATGAACATACTGAGACTTGTACCTGGGTAAATAAACCCAGTACTTTGCTGTAACTGCTTATTAACCTATTTTTAAATAACCACTGGTATCACTTCTAATAAATGCTTGAATTGTGTAATGGGGGAACAATCACATTTCTTAATTCTTGCCAAACAATACAACATACGAAGTCTGAATGCCTGGTTGAATTTTTGAACTGAGTGCAGCAGATTTCTAGCACAGATTTGGAACTCATATTCAAATGAATCTCAATCCCATATGTCACAACACACTCCAGGCCACTGCTTCCCAACTGGAACAACCTCCAATTGTGCAGAGTTCAGCTTCAAGAATGGCTATGCTGGCTAAGGACTTAAATCTAAACATTTGGAAATTCCCTGGCTGGCAAACATAGCTCTATACTTTAACAGTATGAGCTTAGATTATCTTTCTGACTACTTTTTCATATACAAATCCAACTTTGGCAACTCTAAGTTGAGTTCTTCCATACAGAATTGGATATTTTCTCTTAAATGAGAACATCTATCCACACGAAGAGCCCTCTGTGCTCCCAGTTTAATGTTTCTATAAATATTAAAAACACAAAGAATACATGGATTTTCCCCTTTTCAGAATATGATAAAAGAATACAGAGATTTAGATACTAGAATTGTAGAGTATTTGGGATAATAAAGCCAATATAGGCATGTTCCACTCTTCATAGATTTTAATTGCAGTTTCTCCCATTCATGCATCTACAACCTGAATTTGTTTGGTTTATTCTCTAGAAACATATCATTGCCTTTCAGAAGGCAATTCAACTGCCAGTTTGTGCTTCAATGCCATATTTAATGCCCACTACATGTGATCAAACAGAACTGCTGATAACCTTCTTGAATGACCTGCCATTTGGAACCCAAATAGCTTAAAAGCAGCATTTTAGAAATGCCCTTTTGGTGAACAAGCAAGGTGTTCTATTTTCTTAATTATCTTCTGACACAAACTCTACTTATTGTTCCCCAATAAACAGTTGTTTAATTGGTAAAGGCTGGCAGCCATTCCTGTTGTCTGTGTACACTCTGCATAGTTTTATGTCTACTTTGTAGACAGAAAGTGTTAATATGTACATTTTATTTCCATTATAATTAGCTTTTTTTTTTTGCTTATTATCCATGGAATCACAAGATAAGATATTTCCTCATATGAAATCTGGTGCCAAATTGCCCCCAAATCACTCATACTTTGTAAAAGTCTATCTGGAACAATTCCTGCACAACTTTATGATCACAATCAAAGCTAATGAATCTTCGCAAACAAGGTGGGCTCTGCTATTCAGAAAGGGGACAATGCAATAAAAACTAGTATTCCTATAAATGAATTTTATCTATCATTAGTTATGTGATATAGTTTATCTGGCTACATGTCATTTGACATTGAATGAACAGAATAGAATAGAATAGGATAGAATTCTTTATTGGCCAAGTGTGATTAGACACACAAGGAATTTGGTGTTATATGCTCTCAGTGTACATAAGGAGAATAAAATACATTCATCAAGAATAAAAAAATACAACACTTAGTGATAGACAAGATTACTAATAAGCAATCAAATCATACTAGGAAACAAATAAAAACAATATAAATTGAAAGATACAAGCAACATGGTTATAGTAATAAGTGGGAAGAGAAACGTAAATACTAGGAAGGAAGAGAAGAATAATAGTAATACAATCTTAGTAAATTGTTTGACAGTGTTGTGGGAATTAGTTGTTAAGCAGAGTGATGGCATTCGGGGAAAAAACTGTCCTAGTGTCTAGTTGTTTTGGTGTGCAGTGCCCTATAGCGTCTTTTTGAGAGTAGAAGTTGAAACAATTTATGTCCAGGATGTGAAGGGTCTGTAGATATTTTCACAGCTCTCTTTTTGACTCTTGCAGTATGCAGGTCCTCAATGGAAGGGAGGTTGGTAGTAATTATTTTTTCTGTAGTTCTAATTATCCATTGAAGTCTGTGTCTGTCTTGTTTGGACCCCTGATTTGATGACATTATATGGGAAAAGAAGAACATGAGCCTTCAACATGGAGAAATTGTTATCAGAGCAGCAACAGACTGACTGCGGCCACAAACAGGTGCAAGATGAACAGTTGGACAGGTGATGGTAGAACAATTCAGTCCATTCCAAAACACACTTGAACATTTGGCAAAGCTCTCATGGGTATATTCGTTATTAAGAAAAACAGGGGTGACCAGATGGAATGAGGAAAGTAAATAATGTTAATGTTTTAGACATTATCTCATGTATCCTTCCATCAGAACCAAGCTTTGAAAACTCTATGGTTTGTTGAGAAAAAAGTGAGGGGAAAAATGAAAATAGTCTTCAGGGAAGAGTCTCTAATAGTTGTAGAAAGATCAAAAGCAAAAATGTACCTATAATTCATTGGGAGAAACACTGAGACAATAAGGCAACAGCCTGTTCAGTTTCCGCAGTAGATAAAAATCCTTTGTTTCTGCCAAAGTGATTTATTTCAGTCAAGAGAGAAAGCAAGGATATTCAAATATAAGCAGTATAGAAATATCCCCAACAACCCATCCAGATTTGGGATGAATTCTCTCTACTCTGCAGGAACCTTCAATCACAAAACTTCCATGGAAATAGTTATTTTTGGGCTTCCCTCACTAGGTTTAGTGGCTTTCTCTGGAACATTCAGAAGATGGGGAAAAGTGGTGAGGATTTGTGAATGTGCTTAGATAAGGAAGCTGGTTACCCAAACAGAGGAAGTGGGTGAATTGCTGGGCCTGAGAGCCTGCAGTTACAGAAGTAGAAATAAAGGAAGGAAAAGGATGGAAAATGTTTTGAGTGGCCTTTAGCCAATCAAAGCCAATATAATCTTCCAAAACCAGTCTGGTAGTTGCTTAATAGTCTTGAATTATAGACAGCAATTCCTCTAGACAGGGACAAACATCTTGAGTAAGGGAAAAAAATGTGTGATCTCCAGGGATGGTCCTTAGGATTAGTTGAAGTAGTAGTCAACTGTATGATTTCAGGAGTTGAGGAGGCATCAAAAGTGATCCAAAAGTAGTAAATGCACTGAGGTAGAAGGCAGTGGATGCATAGCTATCACTGAAGGCAATGGCACTTGTGGCAAGCAGCTATTATTCTTTATGTCTTGAAGGACTCCAAGCTCTAATATCAAGCTCCATTTTTTATACACTTCCATTTTCACAGCATCATCAATGGGGTGTTTAGACTTACATTTTTCTGATAATTGAATCTGATGTTTCAGGTGTTAATAGACCTTGAAATGTAGAGTTCACTCAGGACTCAGAGGCCTATCCATAGCTTGTAAGGTTGCAGTAATATCTTTCCTCTCTACAGTACATGACAAGGCATCATCACATATCTGCTGAAGGAGTGCATGTGTAAAGGGTGAGTTTTGCAGTGTATCCCTGGTGGCCATATAATGCTTGTGAGAGGAAAAGTGAGAAGTCCAGTGAAGTAGCACTGAGGATGTTACCTCACTGTTGACCAAACTCAGAGAGCACCAAGGACTTCATAAGTTACTCCTGAGCTACAAATATTCTTTTCTGTTGAGGAGAAAAGTAGCAGGTGGTGTCATATGTAACAGAAAAGAATGGCACCATCATACTAAAGAGGATGAAAAAGTACTTTGAAAATGTTTGTACCGAATTGGTGATTATGTAACCATCTAGAACCAAATATGGAAAATCCTCAGAAATTGAAGGCTGACAGTCTTGCTACAGTTGAGTTGAAGCCAATTCTTCTTCATCCAAGCTCCCAGAGCCCCAACAGCATTCAAATATCAAGATAGTATCTCCACAGCATCTCTTGGATGGCCATAGATAGAGATGCCAAAGCCTGGTATCATCAGCATACTGTCAGATGAGCTCAGTTAGCGACTTCATGTAGATGTTCAATACACCGGGCAGTTCTAGCTTATGTTGTACCATCCCTACCTACATTTTCTTACATCCAGATGTGAGAGATTAGAAATGCAGTATAACAAATAATGATTTGAGCTAAGTAATCAATAAAAAAATCTTAAATCAGTTGAGTGGCGATACAATAAATAAAAATAAAATAAAATACCAGACAGGAAATAATGCTCCTATCACCTCACTGTATTAAAAATGATCAATCAAATGTCCAGACTTTTGAGAAAGGACAGTCTAATGCATTAAAGAACAGGCATGCATTGCATGGGGAGATTTCTTCATCAGGTCAGCCATTTGTGAGACTATTAATAAGCATCAACTTCAGAGCCAGCATCTCACTTGTCGCACTGATTTAATTTACAGTAGATTCATTATAATGATTTCATATTCATTTTGTATGACTTTAAACTGATATATTATTTCATATCCTGCAGAAATAGCTCAATCTCATATGACCCACATAGCACTCCACTCTTACAACAATCCGTTTCTCTTACCTGATATTTCGACCTCATTCTTTTTAATTATTTGATGAGAATGATAACCTCAGCTAGGAGCAACATTTGCTTAGCCCTGAAATTAATTTTCACTTTATGGATGGAATACTTCTCTAAATTATTTCTTTTGGGGTCTTTTTCACAGTATCAGCTTTTGCTCCTAAAACCACTACCATCACCACCACCAACAACAAAATGACTTGGTTACTTACTAGGAACTCCAGATACCAGCCGTAAAGGGCGCAGTACGCGGAAAGCTCTAAGTGCTTTAACATCAAATCCAGCACCTTTACCTCCCAGTGAATTTACCCCATCTGCTTTGGTTGCTTGTTCTAAAATTGCACTAAAAAGCCTGCAGAAGGGAAAGAAATGAAAAACAAAACAAAACAATAAAATGGTTAGTATACAGTATGGAGAAAGAAGCAATCAAGGTACTTTATATAATGCAGAAAATCCTGCATAAGGAGATCAAACAGAACATTCATATTTCTTTATGATATGTACAATGATGATATAGACAAAATGTATATGTGCCCTTTTAGAAATATATTAGTTGACAGTCATAACATAAATTCCCAGACATGCTTTGCAGTTTCTAAAAAGGTTTAGAAGAATCAGTGTCAAATTTAACAGAATCGATCTAATAGCAATAGCACTTAGACTTATATACCGCTTCATAGTTCTTTAGAACACTCTTTAAGTGGTTTACAGAGTCAGCCTATTGCCCCCAACAATCTGGGTCCTCATTTTATCGACCTCAGAAAGATGGAGGCCTGAGTCAACCTTACAAATACATTAATCAATGCATATACTTTTGGCTGCAATCTGTACCCTTTCTATATTGTAAGGCAATGTTTCTCAACCTTGGCAATTTTAAAATACTATATATGGACTTCAACTCCCAGGGGCCAAGCTCACCTTGGCCGGAATGATGTTCCACAGGATGGTGTATCAACTCCAAATATGTTTATCTTTAATGATGATGATACGTATGGGATTCTGATGCTGCATACTAAATGCACCTCTGCATCTGAAGTACTTCAAATACTAAGCATCTATTTGACAGCTATCTTTTAAAACATAGAATCTCTTACAAAAGGCAACGTTAGGGATCGGTAGGTAGGAAGAAGTACTACTTTATCTATGTATTCATCATAGTAATATAATATAAATTTTCAAATATCTTTGTGGATTTTTTTGAAATAAAACAACAGCAACTGTTTCCTAAAGATTGAAAGATAGATACTCACCCTACTACCACAATTATAAAATCTAGTAAATTCCAGCCATTCCGGAGGTAAGCATTAGGATGAAAGAGAAGTCCATATGCTATTACTTTTAAAAATGCTTCCACTGTAAAAATTATGAGAAAGAGATATTCCACTCGTTCCTGCAGGGAAAAGAAAAAAAAACATGGAACATGGTGGTTAACTTTGGAAAATTACATCATAGGAGAAAGAGAGGGCTACATTTCCAAGTCAAAACAATTGTCTTTTTGACAGGACTGTCATTTCCTGCTGTTCTTGCTAAATGCAAGCCAAATAATTTACATATAGCTGTACACTCTGTAGGATTTTGGCTATCTAGAACATGGAAATACTTCCTAATCCAATGCCTTCCACACATATTTGACTTCCACTCCTATAATCAACAGAGCCAGTTACAGTGAAACAACATTAAAGACAAAATATAGTTATTTTAATTTGGTTCATTTTTAAATTTAAATTTACAGAAACAAAACCATCATATGCACATCAGGATCAAAATTCATGAAATCATGTTCTGGGAATCTACTTTGAGAGAGAATGGAGAAGAGAGAAATAATTTAGAAGTACATTGATGATCACCATTGTCATCATCATCCTACTACAATCTCTCTTCTCTCTGTACAAGCGTACAGTATATCTCACACACACATATACTCAGACAGTGGTACATATTCCCTAATGCGTCTTCTATAAAGTGCTTTCACTTTGGGTGCAAAATGAGTTCTACGTGAAATCAGGTTAATGGACCAAAATGCAATAAACTCCTTTATCAGTCAGGAAATGGGGGAAAAAATTTGTCCCCATCTCCAGGAGATAGCCGGAAACCTGAATGAAAGCAAACCACATACTATCAAGACTGTTTGATTATATTATGCCGTATCCGTGACTTCTGTTTGCTGCAGGGTCGCTGGTGACTTTACTTTAGTGCTCAAACTAAGGCTATAAAAATATGGGTGGCCATTAGATGGCTGTAAATGATATAGGGCAGTGATGGCTAACCTTTTTGCCATCGCGTGCCAGGAGGAGGGGGCAGGGGAGGGTCGCGCGTGCACATGCCCACACGCATGCGCACGCAACTCCACCCACCCCCGCTCCTGGCACATGATGGCCTGGTAGGCCCGTTTTTCTTTCTTACCTGGTTCCAGATCCTCTCTATGCATCTGGGAAGGGCAAAAACAGCCTTTCCCATTCCCTTGGAGGCCCTACGGAGGCTGAAAGGGCCCATTTCCCAATTCTTGGTGGGACAGGAAGTGACATTTTTTGCTGTCCCCAGCCTCCAGAACCTCTCTAGGAGTCTCTAGGAGCCTCTCTAGGAGTCTCTAGGAGCCTCTCTAGGAGTCTCTGGAGGCTGGGGACAGGAAAAAACGTCACTTCCTGTCCCACCGGCAGTCAGGAAATGGGCCCTTTCAGCCTCTGTAGGGCCTCCAAGGGAGTGGGAAAGGCTGTTTTTGCCCTTCCCAGATGCATAGAGAGGATCTGGAGCCAGGTAAGAAAAAAAAATGGGCCTCCCCCCCGACCCTCCAGAGGCAGGAAACAGACTGTTTCCCTACTTCTGGTGGGCCCAGAAGGCCCAAAAATCAGCTGGCCGGTGCGCGCATGCACCCCAGAGCTGAGCTGGCGTGCCCACTAATATGGCTCCACATGCCACCTGTGGCACGTGTGCCATAGGTTCGCCATCACGGATATAGGGTTTCCTGCATGAGCAGGGGGTTGGATTAGACCTCCAAGGTCCTTTTCAACTCTTGTTATTCTGTTCTGATAAACCAGAGGGGCAGTGGTGGGATTCAGCCAGTTCACACCACTTCAGGAGAACCAGTTGTTAACTTTCTGAGCAGTTTGACAAAGTGGTTGTTGGAAGAACCGGTTGTTAAATTACTTGAATCCCACCACTGCAGAGGGGTCTGTAACCTTAAACACTCAAAGAGCCACTTGCGCCCATTTCCCACAAAAAACAAAACACCGGGAGCTACAAAACCTGGTTGGGCGTGGCCATCTTGACATCACTCACTCCCACCCAGTCACATGACACCCCCCAGCCACGCCTACCTAGTTTTTGTGGCTCCAGGTATTTTCTTTTAAACAGGTCTTTCTCTCTCTCTCTCTCTCTCCCCTCTCTTTCATCTTTCTCTCTCTCTCCCTCTCCCTTTCTCTTCCCTCTTTCTTTTAATTTTTTTGAATTTTTGAAGCTAGGATATGACTGCCCTATTCAAATATTCACATGGGACCATGAACAGTTGCTTCTGCTGATTGCCGGCCAGCCAGGACAATTAATTCTAAGATACCTGGTGATCCTATTTCAGAAAAAAACAGTGAAGCCAAGGAAGAAAACCATAACATTAAGGACAAAAACCTCGGTCTTTACCGAGAGGTGCAGGGCAGATGTTTCCAAATCTATCTGCTGTAGTCACTAAAGAAAGTGCCATTTACATATGCTCTTAATTCTTAATAGGCTCTAACTCCTCAGGGAGAAATAGGACAGCTGCTTACAGGAGAACAGCTGGCTGCTTGCTGATCAGGCAGTTGTCCATAACCCAAATTATATGATATCAACGTCAAAATACAGCAAAATTTCACTGAGATCAGATGTCAATCCAAGATCATGGCCCTTAATGAAAGTTAAAAAAACAAAACAAAAACCTCACACTTTGTATTACTAAGAGTTTTTCAAGTTGCAATACAATTTTCAAATCATTTGGGTTTTGTGATTGCCTATTTGTAAGTAAGTCTCTATTCCCAGTTTGCAGATAGATTAAGGAAAGGTGTATGTTAGTCCATTGTGATTTGCAGATCAAAGCCTACTTTGAAATTCAGATGTTTAACTTATCAATTTAAGGAACCATAATTGTTTCAGTAAGCTAGAGATAGGAAAATTGAGGTACCAAGATCCTGGGCAGTTCTCTAAACCCTTCTTCTTTTTGGGGGTGTAAGTATGTGTCTGGATTGGAGGCCTACGTGTATGTATGTCTGCAGAGATGCAACCTCATTATTTTGAGACGTGAGCTCTACAAAACTGCTAGAGAGGATCTAAAACAAGAACAGAGCGTTTGTATGCTGTTAATCTGGATTTAATATTAAACAATCCCTGTATTTGTTAACGTCAGAATATAAAGCTTCTTTTGTAACCTATAACATTGCAATGGAAAAATCTGAATGGCAGTTCCATTCCCAGGACTATATCGTAATTAACATTACATGGTATTTCAGGGAAATGATTTAAAGCCTGTAAACACAAGAGAGAATATGCTTATTCTCTGCACTATCTCAATCGTACTTCATCTTTCTCAGCAAGGAAGCAGGTGAAATCTGCACTTCCTCTCTTGCCCTGTCAAAGATACAACCTAGCCAGCAAACTACTTCCAAATATTGTCACTGAAATACAGTGGATTTAAAAAGAACTATCACCATTCTGAGATAGTCTTCAATTACGTTGGACAAATGCCTTACATTGCTTTTTATGTTAGGCTTTGTTCTTTCCACAAGCTCCTATTATTCACTCAGAATTATAGTTCTACTATTCCAAATATAGCAGAATATCAACTGAGTCCTTCCATTCTTTCTACATTTGAAAGTTTATTTATTTATTTTATTTTATCAAATTTATATGCCGCCCTTCTCCCGTAGGACTCGGGGCAGCTCACAGAATAAAAACAACATAACAATAAAATAATGCTAAAACAAGCCAATTTAAAATCCCCAGACAATAAAACCTCGTGGCAGATCAGGGAATTTGCTGAAAAAGCCATGTCTTCAGGTTGGTGCGGAAAGTGCGGAGGTCGGGGGCCGTCCGGAGCCCAGTGGGTAACCCATTCCAGAGGGTCAGTGTTTCCCCATTTATCTTCAATATTTACATTATTTTTGCCTTGCTGTCTTTAATAATAGTATATTATATATCTGAACATTCACTGCAGACATTTTGTTGAGTTCATTTGCTAATTTATTTCATGTGATTAAATAATTGTTTTGTAGAAGACTCAAGAATGGGTTCCATGCTAGGATGCTGAATGGGACTTGGGGACTTGAATGTCATTCTGTATGAACTGAAGGCATGAAGTAAAATACAGCTACTCCTCGATTTATGACCACAACTGGGCCCCAAATTCCCATGGCTAAGCAAGACATTTGTTGTGAGTTTGCCCCATTTGAAGACCTTTCTTGACACAGCTGTTAAGTGAAGCACTGCAGTTGTTCAGTTAGTAACACAGTTGTTAAATGAATCTGACTTCCCCATTGACTTTGCTTGCCAGAAAGTTTCAAAAGGGGATCACATGACCCTGGGACCAGGGGACATAGCAATTGCCATAAATACAAGCCAGCTGCCAAGTGTCCAAATTTTGATCATGTGACCATAGGGAAAAGTCGTAGGTGTGAAAAACAGTCTTAAGTCACTTTTTTTAGCACTGTTGTAACTTCGAATGGTCATTGAACGAAGGATTGTAACTCAAAGACTACTTGTATTATATAATGCAACCCATCAGTGTCCAAGAGAGAAAATAAGAACTGCCCAAATGGCAGATTGTCATATATTTAATTTTTAATATTCATACCTATCGATTTATCCTCTATAGTTAAAGGGAAAGGTTCCCCTCGCACATATGTGCTAGTCGTTCCCGACTCTAGGGGGTGGTGCTCATCTCCATTTCAAAGCCAAAGAGCCAGGGCTGTTCGAAGACGTCTCCGTGGTCATGTGGCCAGCATGACTAAATGCCAAAGGCACACAGAACGCTGTTACCTTCCCACCAGAGGTGGTCCCTATTTTTCTACTTGCATTTTTTATGTGCTTTCGAACTGCTAGGTTGGCAGAAGCTGGGACAAGTAACGGGAGCTCACCCTGTTACGTGGCACTAGGTATTTGAACCGCTGAACTGCTGACCTTTTGATCAACAAGCTCAGCGTCTTAGCCACTGAGCCACTAGGTCCCCGCCCTCTATTGTTAAAAATCCACTATTATATAGAAAATCTCTGGCTCTGTTAAACTCTCTGCTTATCTCTGGATTGAGTATTTTTCTGTAGACAATACTTTCCTCAGCTGGAATAATAGGAGAATGAAGATTACCTCATCTTCAACTATACTTCTAAGATTAACTTTATTTATTTATTATTTTTGCAAACAACTCAAGGGAGC